TGGGGGAGATTTGACTTGGTCATAAGCCATAGGAAGATGTTCTGGTGGTTTCAGTTAACCATAAAATGAACATAAGCCAACATTGCCATGAAAAACCAACATAGTTGTGATAAACTCAGGTGGTACTCATAGTAATTCAACCTTCTCGTCACCTGAGGCCATTGTCTCTAAGCACAACACACTCAGCGGACCATATTGAGAGCAGAGGTGTTTGATTCAGGGTGCCATTCCCTTAGGGAGAGACTGACAAAACAGAGGGTGTAGACAAAAGTGATGGGAATGATAGACAGCTTCAAAATTCTTACCTAGTAGCAGCTGTTGAAGAAACAGGGCATGTCTTATCTGGAGAGGAGATACCTATGAAGCAATGTGGTAACTGAATGATTAATGCACAAAAGAAGGAACTTACTCGTTGCTCTGTATTATGCCAAAAGCTAAAAGTAGGACTCTTGCATAGGCAGTTATTAGATTATTAGCTCTAGGAGGGCCAGGAATGTGTGTGTCTTGTTTGCCATTAGAGCTTCAGCACTTAACATAGTGACAAGTAAATAGTAGGTGCTGAATAAATTATAACAGTGTGAAAAAGAGTTTGACTTGGAGCTCAGAAGTCCTGCGTTCAAGTCCACCTGCTCCACCTAGGTCTTGTGAAACCTTGCACAAGTGTATGTAGCCTCTGAACAGGTTTACAAATGCTCAAATAAGGATGATAATACCATTTCAAGTGATTCACATGATTTTATGACTGACAAACTGATCATGTGAAATCTTTTTTAATAAATATAGCAAAATGCTATGTAAATGGTAATAATAAGACACAACAATATTAAATTCATTTCATTTTCAGTTATTAAATGTTTTCAACAATGCAATGAATCACTTTGTGAATTTACCAGCTACTATTCATTGGAAGTATTCAAGTAAAGGTTGGATGACATTTCTGAACAATGTGGTAGAGGTCAACTTTTGTCTTATATGAGATATTCAACTGGATGGCCACCAAGTTGCCATCCAAGGCTAAGATTCTGCTATCACGGTCAGTGCTATCCATTCTTTCTGGCCAAAGTTCATCAGTCTTCTCATTATCTATGTCAAAATTGTAAACATATTCTGATGCTGCTGTGGTTGGACTTTGGGATGCTTCTTTCAGCCTGTTTAATGACTACTGAATTCACAGCAACTCCAACTCATTCAGGGCTTCCAAATACTCAATTTATTATGGGCCTTCCTGGAACAGAGGCTCCTAACCTTTTTTCTGGTGTGGCCTGACACATCTGAGGGAAGTAACATTCTTAGCAGTAACTGTGGCTCATTATGGCAGCAATTCTCAACCAGCTGACAGGAGTAATTCCTTTTTTGCAGGGCATATCGGAATGAGGCAGGGAAAATGAAAACCCATTTCTGTAGATTCTACAATGTCAACTCCTTGACTATTTGAGAATTACTAGTGTAGATAGATCCAAAATACCCAATAAAGTTTATGACTCCGTTTACCTCTATTTAACAGAAATCTTTCACAGTGGCTTAATTAAATAGAAGTCTAAGGGTAGGCGGTTCAAAGCTGGGTCAACTACTTGAGGAAAACATTGAGGGCCAAGATTGAATCTAGTTCCAGTTTTATCATCTTTACCATATAACTCACCCTCATGATCCTAAGATAGCTGCTCCATCACCAAACATTACATCTGTACTTCAGGCAGGAAAGCAAGGGAAAACTAAATGTCAAAAAGTCAAAGCCAGTGGAGTTAGTCCCCTTTCAAAGAGCTTTCCCAGTAGTCTCAGGCAGTGACTTCCATTCATATTTCATTGAAAATGTGGGAGACTGAACATTTTTACTGAATACATTATTGCCTCCAAACAAATCATAATTCTATTCACAAGGAAAAGGGGATGTCTAGTAGTCAGGCAATGCGTAGCAGCCTCTGTCACAATTCCCTAATTCAGTTTAATGCACAGAATGTTTCCTGAGAAACTACTGTACAGAAACTGTGCTAGCACTAGGAATGTATAAATGAAGACACGGACAGTTTCCGTGTTAGAATAAAGGAGATCTGTGT